ACATACGCGCTCACTAGTTAACTCACTCACTCGCTCTGCTACTCACTTTCTGGCTATTTAAATGGCTATACTTGTGTACATATGTATGTATGTATGTATAGCTGCCGCCTGGCTAATCAGTTGCCTAGCAAATTCAATTGCTTTTTATCACTGTGCACACGGAAATTTCTACATAATAGTACATTTGGCCGATAAAGGAGAGTGTTTGATGTATGTTTATAAATATGTATGTACATGTATCTAAGTGTATGTATGTTTGTAATTTCTACACAAAATTTTAGTAATTTGCCGCACAAATAAAAAAAAAAATATGAAAACAATAGCAACAGCGAAAGAAGCTAAATGCACAGACGCAAGCACCGACGACCGATACAGACTCGCGACTATGGGTAAAATTTAATCGTTGATAAGTTGCAGTGCTTTCCACTCCACCATAACAAAACGACGATCACACCATGAACTAAAACAATTACGATTAATAAATGCAGAAACAAAAGAAGATTGTAGTGAATAATAAAAGCAAAGCACAAAGAAATTAAAAAAAAAATTGAACCGAAATGAAAACAACAACACTATCACCAACTGTGTTGATGACTATGCGCGGCCAACGACAATGACTGCGGCGACGATCCATCAAAATCGCTAACCGACGACGACGACAATAGCGACAAACAGAGAAAACAGCAACGAGTAGATCACAACGATCAGATATTTGCGAAGAGTTTGTTATCGCTGTGTCAGCGAGTAAGCGAGCGAGAAAAACACTAAATACTAACTAATCAGCGGCAACGAGCAGCCGGAATCAACAAACCGTTTGTATGGGAGGGCTCTCGCTGATGACGTTTCTAGCGATACCCACAAAGCCCCGACGAGCCTACAATCGCCATCAGCGCCACAACTTATGACAGGTTGTGGACAGAAAGCGAGTAAAAACATTAACATACAATATGCTTAAACATGAAAACAATAGCACTAGCTACATACATATGTAGCTTCGATGCTTGGTTGGTTGGTGGAATGACAGCTCCAAGTGCGCTCACCATGCTGCGCTTGTTTACCACCCGTCCGTCGCATTGATTTGGCAGCGTGG